GAACATGGACACACGTTGGACCTGGTTCAGTGGGTGGCTGGTCCCACACATGAACATGGACACACATTGGACCTGGTTCAGTAGGTGGCTGGTCCCACACATGAACATGGACATACGTTGGACCTGGTTCTCTCTCACGGCTTGTCTGTGAACGACCTGGAACTATATGATAATGTGATTTCTGACCATAGGCCTGTTTTATTTGATGTTGGTTTGTCCTGTGCTCCAGTTAAATCCTGCGCTCCTGCCCAGCGACATAGAGTTTTTAACCCTTCCACCACTGGTCAGCTCTGTGCTCCCTCTGGCTCTGCTGCTGACACTGAACAGCTGAGCTCATGCTTTGACTCCTCCTGTCAAACCATTTTGGACTGTGTAGCTCCATCTAAACTGGTGCGGCCTAAAGCCAGATCTGAACCCTAGTTTAATGAAAAAACTCTTGCAGCCAGACAGGAGTGCCGCAGAGCTGAACGGAGATGGAAAAAGGATAAACTGGAGGTTTCATTTTACATTTTAAAGGACTGTCAACGTCAGTACCAGAACACTGTTAAAGAGGCCAAAAAACAACACTTGTCAGATATTATTGTGTCCAATCATAATAATCCACGTGTCCTTTTTTAAACTATTGACTCTGTCCTGAAGGCCCCACAACCTGTCTGTCTGGAAGCCTCTACTGAACTTTGTAATGACTTCCTGCAGTTTTTTATAAATAAGGTTGTTACCACAAGGGCCCTTATTTCAGCCCCTGCTTTTGACCCCTCCTGCTTGGTCCCCTGCCTGGCTGTGTTCCATAGATTTGAACCAGTGACCCTGACCCTTTTAGAGGATGTGGTCGGCCATATTAGACCATCAGGTTCTCCTTGTGACCTTGTCCCCCCTCGTCTTTTAAAAGAGGTGTTTTCCAGCATCAGGCAGGTGATTCTTGCTGTTATCAATAGCAGTCTGTCCTCAGGTGTTGTCCCAATAAGTTTTAAACATGCTGTGGTGCAGACCCTGCTTAAAAAGCCTAGCCTAGTCCAAACTGTCTTGGCTAATTTTAGGCCCATCTCCAAGCTGCCTTTTATTTCAAAAATTTTAGAAAAAATTGTATATGCACAGGTCAAATGTTTTCTGGATGAGCACAATATCCTGGAGGTTTTTCAGTCTGGCTTCAAAACTCACCACAGCACAGAATCAGCTCTAGTCAGAGTTTTTAATGATATTTTTATGGCTAATGATTCTGGTGAACATGTGGTTCTTGTCCTGCTCGACCTAACAGCTGCCTTTGATACCGTGGACCATAACATTTTAATATCACGCTTACAGCATCAAGTGGGTATCTATGGTACTGCACTGAGCTGGTTTAGGTCCTATCTGGCAGACAGAACCATGTCTGTCAACATAGCTGGGTCTGAATCCTCCACTGCTCTTCTGTGTTTTGGGGTTCCACAGGGCTCTAATTTAGGTCCCCTTCTTTTCACCCTTTACCTGCTTCCATTGGGATCAATCCTTAGAAAGCATGGGATCTTTTTTCATTGTTACGCTGACGACAGTCAGATCTATATGCCACTTAAAAAGAAAGATGCCCCCTCAATTAGGCCACTTCTGTTGTGTCTTGAAGACATCAAAGCCTGGATGTCTTTAAACTTCTTAAATTTCAATGAAAAGAAAACAGAAGTGATGGTGTTTGGTCCTAGTGGCTCTTGTGAGCCTTGCCCTGTTGATCTGGGCCCTATGGCACCACATGTAAAGAAAACTGTTTCTAACTTGGGTTTTAAAATGGACAGTGATTTTAAATCAGATTCCCAGATTGGAGCGGTGGTCAAGACCAGTTTTTATCACCTCAGACAGCTGGCTAAGGTAAAGTCCATCCTCACAAAATGTGAAGCTCTTGGTGTGTTTAATGTGCTGTTATGGTGCAGAGTTTTCAATAAATTTGTAATTCAGTGCATTCGTGTCTGCGTTTAACAAAACAAATGTTTAAAGTTAATTCAGCACTGGCTCAAACATCCAGGTAGACAACAAAAAGGGCTTTCAGAAACGGGTCCAGATTACCTGATTTAGCCATTTTTTGTTAATTCAGCGCAGCTTTCTTGTATCGGATCGGTATCGGATCGGGGGCGAGTCGGTATCACTTGATACCAAACAACGGGTATCGGACCGGAAGTGAAAAATGTAGATCAGTGCATCCCTAATGTGTACAGCACTTTGTTGCAGCTGTGGTTGTTTTAAAGGGCTTTATAAATAAAGTATTATTATTATTTATAAAGTTTGTGAATGTTTCTGCTCAGTGCCCTGAGATGACTTGTGTTGTGACTTGGAGCTACAGAAACAAATTGAATTGAATTCTAGAGTTAACTGCTCAACTTCAATTACTGTTTGGTTCAGAAAGTAGATCTGATGGAGTCAGAATCACACCATGGTCCAAGTATCCAGAACTAAAAATAATCCAGAAATAGTACTAATCCTTAACCAAACTAATCACAAAACCAAATTAATCCAGTAACAACCCCAATCCAGAACTGAACTAATCCCTAATCTACTCCAAACCTAACCCTGGCCTTAACCTTAGCCCCAACCCAGTAAAGGTTTATTCTCTCCATCGCAGTAAACCATTCTTCTCTCATGGATCTTGGTTAACCCTGATTGATATGTCGTCATTGTGTTTCCTTAGATAAAGAGCAGTTGTTGGAAATCGCCAAGGCCAATGCTGCTGCCATGTGTGTGAAAGCTGGCATGCCGGTCCCTGCCAGCCTCCAGTCCACAGTTCTGCCCCTGGCTCTGCCCAGCATGGCCATGAATGCTGCCATGGCTAGTATGACTGCTGGTATGATTCAACAAGCGAGTTTTGTATAATTTCTATGCTAATTGTACGTGACAGTGTGACATGATTGTATATTTGTGTTCCTTCCAGCCTCGGTGACTGCAGCCCTGTCTAACATGGGCACCCTGTCCTCGCTGCTCCATCTACCCTCCATCAGTAACAAACCACCTCCGGTTTGTGTCCAGAACAACTCCTCTGCTCTGGAGGAAGTCAAGAAGAAAGTGGCCAAACAGGCCAACAGCATCAGCATCAAGGAATTTACTGATGTAAGAGCTTCAAGCAAACATGTCCGCTGTTTTAGAGAACTTGAAGGACTGTTCAGAGGTTGCTTTTTTTAAAGAGACTGACCACCGGGAGAACTAGGCCTAAATGCAGAAACTGCGTAGAAACTAAATCCACCAAGTCTTTTTTTTTTCAACAAAAATATGTAAGCCACAAGGTCCCTATAATGGGATCTGAGTGAAACAAATGAGAAACCCTGGCCCTGTTTCGATCTACATCTCAGAAATATGGCGCTTTGCCACTGTCTCTACACTCGAGAGGTCAAAGGTCGAGAGCTTCAGATCTTTTTGTAAGATATTCCAGGAAACAGGAGCAGAGTAGGAGAAGGTCCTTTTGTCTAGTTCAGTCCTCACTGAGGGAACACTGCAGGTAATGATGTCCTGAGAGCGCACGCTGTAGCTGCACTCACACAGAGACATGTAGGAGGAGATGTATGAAGGCAGCAGACCAAGAAGTGATTTAAAGATGAAAATGATAGCAGGATATATACATATTGTTATTTTCACTCAGAATTGTATTCTCAGATGTTGGAGGACAACTGACTTCTGGAAGAGGACCATTTTCAGCAAACTGACATGCATTTCCGCATAAACAAACACGGCCACAAAGTTCGGACCCGTGCGCGCCGCCTAGACTGCAAGACACGTTTCTGACTGGGGGCAGTGCAGAAGACAGAGTCAGTGGGTGGTAAAAGACCGAAGCTACGCAGTTTTCATCACACCTAAGCCAGACTTAAGGCTAGAGGACTTAAGGACCTGCCCACTGCTGGTACCCACCCCACTCAGCCCGGTTTAAGGGACTATCTTGTTCATGGTTCCAAGCGGACTGCTCCGAGGTGACCATTGTGACATAAGCAAGTGGCAGCCGTTGATTGGCCAATGAAGCTCCGTCACTGGATGACCCGCCCAGTTACTTTGATTTTTCAAGTTTTCTACTTTCTAGTTTAGTTTGGAACCTCCAAAAAATAGTGCAGAGGACCAATGATGAGGTCCAGACTAGGAATGCGTGATATATACGGTACACGGTAGAAATAATAGAAATTTATTGGTCATCTTTAGAGAAACCTGCTCTCTGATGTGTGAAAGAACGCTGTGTTGTGTGATTTTACTGCAAGACCCTCTGGCCACAGACTCATTTTGTGTCGACTCTCCTTAAAGCAGAAGGAGGCGCCCACTAGAGGTTGGAGGGTGAAGTGTTTCAGTTGCTGCTCTGTTGCTGTTCATTTATTAAGTGAGACTGGAAACTGTTAAGAGTTAACAACCTATTATTTTGTTTAAAACATATGGCTAAAACTACATTTGATATATTTTGCACTGTTTTGTACTACAAGAAAGAAGCCGAATACTTGATTTGTTTATTATTTAAAAACTCTGCACCTAGTACTGGAATTTTCTTAATTCAAAATAATTGATGGCAAAAGGACACACTATGCTTTTTTTCATTCCTATTAAGTTTTATACCCAAAACATATCGCGATATATATCGTTATCGCCACCCTTCACAATACATATCGTGGTATGAATTTTATGCCATATCGCACATTCCTAGTCCAGACCTTTTTGTTTTGATTGGCGGATCAGAGGATTCAGTGTGAGCTGGACGGTGCCACAAGAAACGGCAAATTACAGTGAGATATTAGAGATGATGGCGCCGCACGGATACACCCGGACCTTTAAGCAGTGCTGGGATAATCTAAAAAACGTGAAGTCAGATTACAGTTATAATGTCCACCCACTTTGCAATGAGGATCCCGCCCACAGCGCAGGGGTACAAGTCACACTGGCAATTCACCCACACCTGAGATGAACCCTCTCAAGTGTGCTTATCAGTAGCAGAGCAGCTACCGGGATACTTTACCGTAGAAACATCATCCAGAGTTTAACACGTCACAGAAGGTTGGATTTTAGATGACTGGTCTTTTGAGCTCTTCAGTGTTTCCCCTACCAGTATACAAGGAGGGCGCCCCGCCTGGTCAACAGAACCGAGCGCTCTGCCTCCCAAACCGAAGTGTCTTCTTTCGATAGTATAATATATTTGATAGAGTATATATCTGTGGTGTTCTCTTAAACACCCCAGAGTTCGCACTCCCACTGACTGCCATTTTATCCAAGCTCAGAATATTCCCTCCAGAATTGTGGGCCGTACTGTTTCTTAGGTTTCACATCTGTACCAAGTTCCACTGTGAATAAAATATGAGATTAGCAAGTTAGCCTTGTGTAATGACATGTTTTGAATTGGGAGTTATAGAAACATAAATTAAATCCCGTCATTTCAGTTTGTAAAATTTGTGAACTGTGTTGTACGAGACGGTTGTCGTGTTGAATGTTCTGGTTGTGCTTGTAGAAATGCAAGATGATCGTGGACAGCACCGGAGAGCTGCCGGTTGCTCTGCCTCACGTCTCTGATGACGAGGATGATGGGAAGGTGTTTGGAGGAGCTGCAGCCATCCGAGAGCAGAAAGTCATCAGCTTCAACATTACTGTAACTTCCTCACACACACACATATGTGTGTATATAGTATATACTGTATAACGTAGGGTCATGTAGGGAGGTCCCAGTCTTTGTTCTTAAATGAGGGAGTATTGTTTCCATTTGTTCTTTCGTAGATTTCAGATTCATCAAATTAATGAACCACCAAACTGATGGTTTGAAAATGATTAAATACCAAGCAGATACTTAAATTTGATATAAAAGTACCCGAGTTAACCTACTGAACAACATAAATCTGTTCAAGTGGAATGTTCTCTGTTTCTTCCCATCCCGTCAGAACTCGACAGCTCGTCCATCGGGGCGCTGTGATGCAGAAATGGCCAAAGAGTTTCCTGTGTCTTCAGGGTCTCAACATCGAAAGAAGGTTTGAACGGACCCACAAGACCAGGATTTTTTATTGTTATTGTTAATTTATTGTGTTTTTATGACTCTTGAAATGTAGCACTTTGCTTCATAAATGGAAGGTGCTATTATTATTTGTTGACCCTGCTTTCATCAATCAGAGAAGTTCTTACATGATTACTTCTTCTGTGTAGGAGGGGGACGGACTGGGGGCCTATGGAGAGTGGGTTCCTGTGGAGAAAACCACAGTAAAGGTTTCCACTGGTCCCAAAAAGTCCAGTGTTCCCACTGTGACATCATCGTTGATACCACCTGAGGATACGGCAGTGAGCTTGGGTCTACCTGATGTTATAGAGCAGCCGACGCCAGCGCCAGACAAGGACAGTGTGTTCCCTGAAACACAACTACAGGTGAGGAACAGCATCATGTGTTTAATGACTTTATTCCAAATACATACAGTTTATGAAGATGAATTCTATCATTGAGGCTGTATTTGGTACTATATGTGCATTTTGAATATAGAAATGTTTACCTGTGTAGGGTGTGGGTTTTTAGTCGAGACACTGTTCAACAACTCCCGCCCTTTAATTAACAAAATTAAATACACTGCCTGGCAAAAAAAAAGGGTCACACACTAATATTTGGTTGGACCTCCTTTATCTTTGATCACATCGTTCATTCTCTGTGTCATTGTTTCAATAAACTTCTTCAGCGTCACAAGATCTGTTTCATCCACTGTTGCATTAATGTTTCACCAACATCTTTCATTGATGACGAGACACTAGACATGATGGTGCATCACTTCTCCTGCCTCTCTTCTGACCCTGATGCACCATCACTCTGGAACAGGGTCAGTCTGGACTCATCAGACCACATGACCTTCTTCCATTGCTCCAGAGTCCGATCTTTATGCTCCCTAGCAAATTGAAGCCTTTTTTTCCCAGTTAGCCTCACTGGTTAGTGGTTTTCTTAAGGCTACACAGCTGTTCAGTCCCAGTCCCTTGCGTTCCTTCACATTGTGTGTTTAAATGTTCTTACTTTCACTATTAAACACAGCCCTGAGTGCTGCTGGTGTTTCCCTTCCATTTGATTTCACCAAACGTTTAAATTCTGACACTGTGATCGTTTCGAACAATAGTTCGGATTTACGCAGTGCGGATGTGCGCGTCACACAACACCTGAGCACGCATACTGGACAGAGCTGGTGAAATTGTTCCTCCTCTGCAGATTTATGCGAAGGAAGACAGAAACCATCCCGCGTAATGACTTTGGACCTGAATGAACTTTTGCTTTTTGGTATAAAAGTAGGGTTTGGTCAGAGTTCTGCTGAGCTCCCATCTCCTTGAATTCTGAGACAAGAAGGAGCAACGGACCAACTTGACAAGTCACTCACTCTTTTAGCTGACGTCAGAGCTAATAAAATGCTGCTTTGACCGACAGATGCTTCAAAGGTATCTGATCCAAGGGCTCAAATGGTTCTTTAGTTAGTGCACGGAGTACGAGCGCTAGATCCCACTGCGGTGCTAGGGCGCACGTCACCGGCCTGAGCCTGCACGCACCTTTCAGAAAATGTTTTGTTAGAGGGTGATTGAAAACCATTCTATTGCTGAACCCTTCATGACAGGAAGAGATTGCTGCAGTATAAGTTTTAATCGTGTTGAAAGCTAAATAATAATAATAATAATAATGTCATCACAATGTCAGCACTGTATGTTTCCATACAATGGCGAAATTAGTCTCTGCATTTAACCCATCCACCACCAGGTGGTGCAGTGGGCAGCTATTGAAAGCGCAGGGGGACATTTTGGGGATGAGGCGTGCTGCCCAGAGACGCCACGTGATGTGCAGTGACTGGGGATCGAACCTGGGACTTTCGGGTCCCAAGCCGGCTGCCCTGCCTCTACACCATCTCGGCCCCAAATTCCTGAATTCCTGTCCAACAACAGCTGCAGGTAGGATAAAATGCAGCCCAGGGAACATGAAGCTGGGCACCCCTCTTTTTCTAGGCACCATCGTTGAAAAGAAGCCCATTTAGAAACAATCATAGTGGATTTTGCTCGCGCTCCCTGGATGGTACATATTACATCTTTGGAAAACCCAATTTTTTTCAAGCGTTCCCGTTCAGCGGCCAGGCCCAAAGGGGCTGTCCTATTATAGGGAAGCTCCTGATTGCTCCTCCAGCGTGCAGGAGAGCATCCTCTCTCCACTGCAACTTTCACGGTTGACCCATCAGCTGTTGCAGTACCGGGAACCATGAGGCATTCATGCGTTCTGGGGTGATCAAAATCACTTTGATTCTCCTCTCATACCCTCTCCAACAGCGCTGTTATTAGGGGGACTGGGAGGGGAGCATAAATCAGTGTCTTTGGCCATGGTTTGTGTGTGAACGTGTTCACCCCCAGTGTGCGGTGTGTCCTGTGGATTTAGGGAGAAGAACAGGTCGCACTGGGTGTTCTCCCGGGTGGCCATCAGGTCCACCTCTGCTTTCCCGAACCTGTTCCAGATACGCAAGATTAGACCTGGATGAAGAATCCAACCACTGTCCAGAGACCCTCCTCTCGACATAATATCTGCACCCTTTTTTAGCACGTCTGGAATGTAAACTGCTCTGATTGAACTTAAATGTGTGCATGCCCAGCAAAGCAGTTCCCTGGCTGCATTCAGCAGCTGAGCTGAATGCACGCCTCCTTGGCGATGTATGTACACCGCTGCGGCTCTGTTGTCCATGTGGATCATCACGTGATGACCCTGAATCAGTGAGGCAAAATGTCTTACCACTTTCCCCACTGTGAGGAGTTCCAGTACATTTATGTGGAGGGATATGCAGGCTGGCCACATTCTTCCCACCGTCTGGGATAGGCAGGTCCCTCCCCAGCCAGAGAGAGACACGTCTGTGAACACGGAAGTGGATGACGTCACTTTGCCCAGAGGGACTCCCTCCAATAGGTTCTGGGGATTCCCCCAATGTATGTTTTTGTATTGAACGCATTTTTGGATTCCCCCAATGGTTCATATCCGTCCCCACAGACAGGGGAATGGTGATTAGGCACCGTTTGTGACATACAGGATCAACTTTCAGTCGATTTTACCATCTTTGCACGTGGCGCATAAATAATAGCTCCAGCGGCACCACAACGTGAGCTGCTGATATTGTTCCTAGTAATCTCATGATTGACTGTGCCGTCACCATCCTGTGAACCCAGACGTGCTGAAGCAGTGACGTCAGGGAATCCCTCCTCTGCTCTGACAGGAGAGCTGTCGTGTTTACTAAATTTAGCTTCACCCCCAGAAATGTAATTTGCTGAGATGGAAAGATAGAGCTCTTCTCCCAGTTTATTGTGAACCCCAGATGAGACAGGTGTTTCACTAAAACAGCTGTTTGTGTCTCTGCCTCTTCCCTGGACTGAGATAGAATCAACAGGTAATCCAGATAACACAAGATTTTTATTCCTCTCGTTCGAAGCGGATGGAGGGCTACTTCTACACATTTTGAGAACGTGCGTGGGGCGAGCGAATAACCGAATGGGAGGCAGTTGTATTGAAAGCAGGACCCCTGGAAAGAAAAACGAAGGAACTTCCTATGTTTGTTTATTATTGGGAAGTGGAAGTATGCATCCTTAAGATCTGTGGACACAAACTAATCCCCTTCTGTCACATATTCGAGAACACGTTTCACCGTCAGGATGTGAAAAGGTCGTTCCATAATGAGTCTGTTGAAAGAAGCCAGATCTAAAGTTGGTCTGAGGTCTCCTGACTTTTTCAAAACCAGGAAGTACCGGGAGTAAAAACCGGCTTCCTCCTCTCCAGGAGGAATTCTGGAGATCACATCTTTTTTCAGAAGCTCCATCAATTCTGATTGAAGGGTTAAACCCTGTACTGGAGATGTTAGCTGGATTTCTAACATACCGTTGAATTTCCGGGGTGTTCTCGTGAACTGCAGAGTGTAGCTTTTGCAAATCAGATGGGACAGCCATCTGCTTCTGATGCATTCACTTTGCCACGCTGCGCTGCGCTCTGAAAGTGGACGCGCGTGGGTTTTCCGTCTCGTAAGGGGGAACAACTGAGCCTCTACCGCCGTTGTTTCCTGTGGGGGGTATTCTCCTATACTGACCCATGGGAGGCTGTCCTGGAAAGGCTTGCATATCTGTTTTTATATTGTGGTTTTTATATTGCTCCCCGGCCGCATCTGGATAGGGAGAAAAACCTGGCGTGAGCGTTGGACAAAACAAATGCCGCTTTGGTGGAAATTCACTTTCATCGCTCACTTCTGCTAGCCGGTCTGTAAAATGAGGAGAAAACCCCTGCGTAAAGCTCTTGCTTTGACTGCAGGTTCATGACACGAGTGTGTTTGAGCAGAAAGGTCTCTGTGTTTTTTGGGCATTAGTTTGCAGAATATCTTACCACTCTGTGATTTCTGACAACCGTCCTCAGCGCTCGCTTCCTCTGACAGGCAAGGAAGGGGACTGATGGAGATGGTGGATGAATGGAAGAATCCTCGTGGAGTGCAGCCACTTCTCCCAAAGAGATTATCTCCTGTGTCATTAATCCAAACCTGGTGTTTACCTTTGAACGGTTGCTACAAGCGAACCTTTTCATTAGGTGTGAAGGGTGTTCATACAGCCTGTCTGAATGAAAGACTCCACTTTTTGAGAGTTTTTTTATTTCCCACATCAAAAACCTGCTAATTTCAGCATCTCCCCCCCCAAAAAAACTTTCATCTTTTTGTGCTGTTTCCTCCGCACCTCCTGCGCCTGATTTTGCCATGTGCCCATCTGTTGATGGCCCCTGCTTTGGAAAGTCCCCGTTTTTTGTGGCATCTGGGAAGTTTGTCCTCCGGGGTAGGCTGGTGGAGGGGCCCCAGAAATGGTAGCAGCAGCCATGGAGCATCTCTGCGGCTGATACTAGAATCTGCTCTGTTCTTTCCAGTGGCCCAGTGTTCAAGCAGAGCGGGGGTCTGCCCGGGCTAGGGTCGCGTGTCTCCTCACCTGCTCCAGGGTGTCAGATGAGGATTGCAGCTAGTTCAAGACCAACTGGAAGTGAGGTCCGAGGAGGCCGTCTGAGGACACCGGACTTTCCAGAAGTTTTTTTTAACATCCTCCGGGATGGATGGGGACAGTCTCAGCCACATCTGCCTCTGTAGCACCGTTGCCCAGGTAGAGATGCGAGCAGAACACGCCACGAGTGCTGTGCACAGGTTGGTTATCATGTCTGCCGCTGTGCATTTCTAGTCCAGGTCTGCGGAGAAAGGGTTCGGCTCCTTTGCCTCCTTAGATATGCTAAGGGCTAGCATTACAATATTGTTTGTTGCATCTCCCACCTGTGACAAGCACTGGTGAATTTTGTCTGACACTTTCGTGGTGAGCTGGTCACCGGAAGATGAAGGAATAATGCATCTGCCGACATACCTCGCTGCTCTCACCCCGAAGACAACCGACAAGCTGGGTTCTAGTGGAGGTATAGCGGGGAAGCCTTGATCTGTGAATCCCTTGACTTTTATGATGGCTACGTAGGAGGTGACCGTAACCCTCAACTTCAGCGGGTCGGTGGCTGAGCCCAAGAGGAGGATAGACACAGCCGTGAAACAGGGCCAGACCGGGTCCCGGTGTCCTGTGTGCTGAGTGAAAAACCTTCTCGTCAGAAGGGTTGACGTGACTGGCTCGGGCACCTCCAGGTCGCAAGCTCTCGCCGACCTCCCTATTATCTCCAGGAGCACGTGAAGCAGAGTGGTGGCCGACCCTTGAGTGGTTGGGGGGGCCTCCGTTCGCTGCAGTACCGACTCCAAACCTCTTGAAGGGCAGGATGGAGCGCGGCTGCTAGCTGTTTCAGCTTCGGAGGGGGACATGTCTGCTAGCCCAGAGTCCAGGGAGCTCAAAAACTCCTCCAGTGACAGTCTCTCCTCAGTTGAAACTCATCCTCCACAGAGGAAAGGAGTTCAAACCGGCGCTGCTTTTCCTCGGCCGAAAAAAGTTTGCAGTCTGGGCAGGAAAAGAGCGGTTTCATGGCCTGGTGGGTATGTTCAGCTCCCAAACAGCTCTTACAGATGACGTGCAGGTCTGCCGACAAAATGTAGCCGGTCTGGCACTCTGGGCACAGACGAATAATAATGACTTTATTAATTAATAATAATGACTTTATTAATTAATAATAATGACTTTCGCTTTTTTTGTGGAAGTCATCTTTCCTTCTTCTTTTTTCTTTTCTTTTTAGAAGTAGTGTTCTTCGCATTGGCTGAAGAAAATGGGGAGTTGATCTCAGGTCCAGATGCAATTTATAACGAATCGGGTGGGACCCACACAGTAGGTGGGCATGGACTAGAAGTTTTCAGTGTTTGGCAAACTGCGCGCGGGGTAAACCCAATAGTAACAGCTTTTAAAGGGCGTAGCTTACATGAAATAGAACATATTGTTTCAGTTTTCAGCATGACATGAGGTCATATAACCATTGTGTGATTGGGAGGGGTATCATCCCTCCACCTGATTACAATTGCCTGTCTCGCCAGTAGGGAACAGAACGACTAGAGGTTGGTAAAGACACTTCATCCACACTAATACTGAAAAGAGCCAGTAGGGGGTTAGGTGCTAGGGTAACATTAAGGTTCTTGGACAGTGTGTGAAAAACCTCTGTTGGCCAAGCCTGGGACAGGACCAATACACGTGAATCAATGAGGCCTCTGAAGTTTTGCATTTGTCACAGTATGGAGCGATATCAGAATAAATACGAGACAGTTTGGATTTGAAGAAGTGGGCTCCATGTACCACTTTAAACTGAAATCAGACAATGATGTGTACAGAGTCATGTTGCATTGATACATTTAAGTAAGGGCCACATTTCAGCTGGGATGGTCAAGTCCAAGTCCTCCTCCCATAATGTTTTGAGTTTGGATGTGGAGGGCTCACGTATGATTGTGCAGCTACCCATCCAGGCTGTCCCATTATAAAGTTTGCAGATGATACATTGTTGGTGGGATGCATCACAAACAACGATGAGTCCAGCTACAGGCAGGAGGTGGAACACCTGGAGAGCTGGTGCAGAGAGAATAACCTTCACATCAATGTGAAGAAGATAAAGGAGATGGTTGTGGATTTTGGAAGGAATAACCGCCCACCACTGAACATAGGAAGATCTGCGGTGGAAGTGTTCTCCAGCTTCAAGTACTTGGGTGTGCACCTGAACAACCTCAGCTGGAGCAACACCACCAGCCTGATGAAGAAAGCTCATCAGAGACTCTACTTCC